ATGCCTCCGGGGAGGCAGAGCCGGGGCGATGGAGCTAGAAATGAGCCAGAAGTCAGGGGAGTGAAGGTTTTGTTCTAGTTCAGGAAGACACCTGAGATCGTTCAAAATCATCCCCAAAACTAGTATACGTGAGCAAAACCCAGCAGTGCGACGGGGAGTTTGGCACCCCAACCTCCTCCTCCCAAGGCTGGGGCAGGACCTGGTTCAAACCCAGCTCCCAGCCCCACGGGGAGGCTCTGCCCCACCACCCTGCGCCCATCGCAAAAGAGGATTCGTCCTCCCATCCTTTTAGGCATCATTTTATCTCAAATCTCTCATTTCCCCACTATTCAACAGGAGCTTTCCCAACCGCTCCCACCAACCCAGTATTCCTCTCCCCACCACCTCCCAAGCTCTTCGTGGGAGCATCCATACGTATATTTTGCCAATCCTTTATCCCAACCTCCGTCTGCTCCCTGCACCCAGCCCGGGGCCCTCCAGCCTCCCCAGGACCTCGGGGCTGGTTTTCAAGGCTGCCAAAGCCCCGGGACCATCCCTGAGGTTGGATGGAGAAGCAGACACAAGCGGGAAAGGAGCAAGTGTGATTTAGGCAGAAAAAGGCACAAGAGGGGAACCGTTGCAGGGCAGGGAATAGAGGTTTATTCATCTGTTGCCTTGAGAAACTTGAGGTTGTTTTAAAAAAAAAAAAAAAAAAAAAAAAAGACCTAAAATTATATGAACTCAGCGATTTCCAGCACAATAATATATAATTTTATGAGACAACACGTCCTCCTTGTTTCCACCACCCTTTAGCCCAAGTGCAAATGGCCCACAGGAAGGAGGGCTCGACCCCAGAGGGAATGGCATGGGTTGGCCCAATTTATTTAGGATGAAATAAGGTTTCAAGGGGGGAAAATAAACAAACAACACCTACTCCAGGGACTGTCCCAAAACACATGGACATGAGACAAGTTCAATGGAGACGTTACAAACCGGGCAGGGGGAGCACGGCGGCAGCGCTGGGCTGGAGAAGATCAGAACCCGCTTCTCAGCGATGGAGATGTCCCAGCTCGGTCTCCTCTGGGGACTGGCACCGCCGCGGAGACACGGCGTCTCGGGGAAGGGGGGACAGAGCGACACGACACGACACAGCGGGATCCGGGCGATGTTTTAGAGGATGGAGGGGACGGGAGAGCAGGGACGCTGCAGAGGACAGGGAGAGCTGCAGCGGGATGCGAGGGGAGCCAAGCCCACCGTGGATCCTGCCACACCATCTATGCTGCTTAGGCTTCGGGATTTTCCATAGCCTTGGTGAAGAAAACGGACAGGTTAGAGCCGAGCAGCCTCCTTCCCAAGGCTCGGAAAGCAAAGAGCACCAGGGTGAGCATCGCCCAGCCCCAGAGCCCAATTCAACCCCCGAAAAAAAATTCAGGAAGGGCTTTTTGAGGGTAACCAAGCTTTTGCAGATCCTCCAGACCTCCCCTCGCCTCCCCTTGGCTCCCCGTGCCGGCCGAATCCAGGACTCAAGAGTCATTGATGCTGGGAGATGAAATCGGTGCTGGGGGGTGTTGGGTTTTGTTTCCCAAATTGCTCTGAATGAGGAATGAGTCTGGGGATTTCGTGGGCTGAAGCAATCAGGGAAAAGCAGCAGAACTCAAACAAATATGGGATTTGGAAGGAGTTATTCCCCCGGCTCTGGTTTTTAAGCCAGCTGTAGCAGCAAGCTGCTGCTGACACCTTTCTGTACGGAAAGGAGCAGGTAGACGTGCTCATTATTTTCCATAAGAAATTGCATTAAAGAGCAAATATTTCTATTGCTTTAAGCATGGGAACCCTTCACACTCCCCCAAAGAGCCAGAAATCGCTCCAGCTTTTATTGAAAAGCAACAGCCAGAACAAATGCTCTCTCAGGTCAAAAGCCACTTTTCTTCCTGGAAAGAAACTAAGTATTTGCACTGAAAATTGGATTTTTAGGCCCAAACACCAGCCCTATTCAAAGATGAGCCCCAAGAGCTGCTCTCCGGATCGCTGCACCGTGCAGGGACAGCTCTGCTGCCAAGATACGGAAAATGAAGGATGCTCCCGGCCGTGATGAGCCCGACTGCCCTGCGCCGTGCCACGCTCGCTGCGTCGTCCCCGGGAGTGCCCGGGCGAGCAAATGCCGCCTGGCCTTTGCCTCCCCTGCAAGCACCAGCGAGCTCCGGAGAAAGCGAGCGCGTGCGAGCGAGCACGTGTGCGTACGCGGGGGGGAGCGGAGGGAGGCGGCTCCCTGACAGCAGAAAAACAAGGTGATGGATGGGCCCTTCGGCAGCGCCGAGCTCGGAAACCGTCCCCGCGTCCCGCCGGAGAGTTAACGGCGCATCTTTGGGTTCTGCTTTGATGCCCGGGCCAGGGTGTTTTGGGCTTGGATCAAGGCTGACCGCTCACCCCAGAGCGATCGCGGCATCACCTCCACGCACACCCGAGGAGGATGCCAAGACACGAGCATCGTCTGGAAAAGGCTCCAGAACGCTACCTCTTTAAATCTGATTTTTATCCCCTTTTTATACCTTTTTCCTACTCGTTTCCCAACGACAGCAGCCAGCAGGGAGACATGGGAGTCTTCAACCTCCTCCCATACTCAGCCCCCCCGGGAGACACGGCTCCTCCGGCTTCCAGGCGGAGAAAGGGCTGGGGGACAGGAGGCCACCGGCCTAAACCTGTTGCTGACTTCAGCAAAGCTTTTCCAGTTCCCGCAGTGGAAGCGAGAGCAGAATCAGGCCCCGAAGAGAAGAGCAATTTCCTTCTTTACTTTTTGGCACGAATCCACGCAGCGAGAGAGGAGGGAAGCGAGCGCAGCCCTGAGCCGGGGGGAGCCCCATCCCCAGCTGGGGATGTTTCCCACCTACAGCAGCTGATGCAAAGACCCCCCTGGTCCCCCCCCAAAAAAAAAAAACCACCAAAAAACTGCATTGGGCTCATCCTTCAGCAAACCTTGCTCTTTTTCCAGGACCGCTGAGGCTCTTTGAAGAGCCCTGCCCGCATCCCACCCTGAGCCGTGAGTGTGGGAAGCAATCATGCCGAGATGCAACGTGAAGGCTCGGGGTTACCGATGGATCCAGCAGCCAAAAACCATCAATTTGTCGAGAGGTGTTACGGGGTCGGGGCTTGCTGGCAATGCAAGGACCCGCTGATGTGGTTGAGCACTTTACAGGGATGCTCCTTGCCCTCTTGCTCAGACCATTGAATAGAAAAGGGTGGAAGGAGGGCATAGGAACAGGGCCAAAATCATGCTGCCAGTTTTGATTAAGTCTCAAGCATCACAGTTTGGGGCAGCACTTCATAAAGACGCTTGATTGCTCCAGGGCCCCTCTGCAATGGGACTCCGAGGGCAAACCTGCCCCGAGCCCAACACTTCATTTTCTCCATCAATTAATTCCCAACGCACATAAAGCCACGCTCGTGGGAGCACCTGGCTCAGGACTCCGTCCCTCAAGGCCATCGTGGGTTTGCACCAAGCTCAGGGCCAGGTGCCACCACAGAGTCGAGCTGCAAAGCGCCGGAGGGTTGTGCTCCGCTAATTGCCACCGATGCTGTTCGTTAACGGAGCCGGTATCCCAGCAACTCGCATAGGTGCTAACTGAGGTCACCGGGATTGCTTTATAAATTAGTTTGTTGCCAAGGAGCCGTATGGAGGCATCTTATAAACAGAGCGGTGGGGCAGCGGGTAACCCCCGGGGGCTCTTCCCCGGGACCTGGCAATGCCGCGCTCCCCACGTGCAAACGCTCGCAGCTCACAAGCGCACGTGCGTGCTCGCACATGCTTTCAGCCGGCAGCAGATGGGGACGGGGTAATGCAAGCAGGCAGCATTGCCCAGGAACGCCTGTGCTTGTTTAGAACGTCTGCGCGTTGCACGCACTCGCACGCGTGTCCCCGTGCAAACGTGGGCTTGTCCCTGCTCGCCCCCCAGCCAAGCATCGCCGGTGGATGCTCACGTGAGCATCCCCGCACTCGATCCCACACCGCTCGAGCCACGTGCCGGTCAAGGCCCTGCACTAATAGCAAGCAACGGAGTAAAAATCAGCTGCGTGATGTTCTGGCAACCAAGCCAAAAATTGCCGCTTTGCAATGCCAGTGTGCCGTCAAAGGGTAAATGCCCTTCCCTCCGTTTAACCCCATTCCCTGTGGGTCCTCTTGAAATCCCACTCTGGTTTCAATCACTACCTTCTCCTAGACCATCATAACCAATCTCGCTGGCATGGGGGATACTGGACTCATCCTGCCTCCATATCACTCCATCCAAGCAGAAGACGGGTGCTCACATGCCAAGACAGACCCATGCCAACGTGTCTGTGCCCCAGCAGGACACATTTTGGGGAACTGCTGAGCAGGACCTGAGTGCTGGAGGGAGATAAGGGGTCCGGAGCCATCCCCGGCAGCAGGGAAGCAAGGTGATATCACTGGAAGCAGCAATAGGGACAAGAAACACATGCCACATGGCAATCCACTGCAATCCAGCTTGGTCTTCTCCAGAACCCAGGACCAAGGGGTGGTGGGCAGGGGTAGCTCTTCTCTTTGAGCTGCCCCAATGAGACCAACCGCTGGAATTGGGCTTGAACCACGACGGATGCCGAGATCTGCAGCATATTCCTGAACCAGCTCCATCTCCTGATTTCCACAGCTTGTACAGACATCAGTACCTGTCCCAGGATCTGACAGATGGCCATCAGCTAGTTGGGCTCAGAACCAAGCTCATCTCAATTTGCAGAGCTGCCAACATCCCAGTACCAGAACAAACAGCCTCAGCAGGAGATAAATCAGGAGTGAGGGAAGAGGCGCCTCTGCGGCTCCCAACAGCTTTTGGCTGGAGCACAGGAGGCTGCTTTGCCCCTCTGATCGTCTCTGGTCACCGCTAACCCGGACCACACTGGAGCATTTCACCAGGGAAGACATCAGCCCTGACCCCCCCGGACAGCATCCCACCGGTCCACCCCCAACAGCCCACGCAGGACGCAGATATTGAAGTTCCCTCTTCCCAAAAGGTCTCGCGCATCACTCAAGCCCCTCTGGACACCAGATCCACCTTTCCCCAGGTGCAAGACCATTTCAGCAAGGGTAAGTGACTCACGTACACATCTATTTTTAATTGTAAAAAGCACTCTGACATTTGCAGGAAGGACACCAGAACAAACCAATGAAGATCACCAAAGCGCCCTTTCAAATAGCTGTTGCTGCCACCGTGCAAGGAGAAAAAACCTCCTGGTCTCCTGCAACCAAGTAATGTGATTTGGGAGCCCAGCAAGAGCATCACTGGATCCTCAGCTATTAGATCTACTCTGGTTCTCCTGGCTTCAGTGGGACCAAGCTCAAATGCTTCAGTTGAAGAGACGCCTGACTTGAGCATCTTGTAAGGATGAAGATCAGCACTGGCTTTCATCTCTCTCCTTCATCCCTTCCAGTTCAGCATCCCCCTGAGTCTGGGGCAGGACTACAGCCTCCTTGCTTCTTCTTATTAGCGGGCATTAAGAAAAGAGATCAACTTCACTGAAAAAGGCCCTTCCAGGAAAAAGCTGAGGCTTTTCAAGCAAATATTTGTATAGTACCCTTCTGCCCAAAGATGAGCAAAGCTTTTCATTTTTTTCCTCTTTCTAAGGGACGATGCTGAGCAGAAACGCCAAAGGGAATCCTTGATTTCCCAGGAGGAAGCAACCAATTTGCTTCTACTAATGCAATAAATGTGATTGCCCCCAAACACCTCCCCTTGCTCTAGGGGCTGTTGGAGAACCTGGCCCAGGCCAGCCTGGGATGAGCTGGGCTGCCTTGCACATGAAAATAGGTGACTTCCCAGTGTAAAAGATACCAGGAGGGTGTGAAATGAACCTGAGCACCAGGGCTGGAGGTCACAAACCCAAAGCTGAGGTCCTCCCTATGTCCCAAGCCCATCCAGCCTTTACCAACCCAAGCAGAGCTACAGCAACAAACCTTTGAGGGCCTCCAAAGCACCAACACCACGAGCCAACAGGTCTTGGTGTGCAGCTCAGAGATGTAGCACATCATCTTTTCTCCTGCCTGGTCCCAGCTCGCGTGCGCCGTTCCCTGTGAGTAACTGGGCTTAGATGATACCAAGGAGGCAGAGGTAGGTCAGCTCTGCAGCTACATCATCCCACACCACCCTGGACACACAAGAAAAACTGCAGAACTAAAAAAACTGAGCTGTGTCCTAAGAATTATCCCAGCAATCGAGGGTGCAGCTGGATTTTGTGGCTCAAGGTAGGCACTGGATCTACCCTCCCAGGGGCTGGGACACTGGGAGACGGGCACAGGGCACGCTCGCTGGTGGAGCAGAGAAGGCTGGAGGACGGTGCGAAGGGACCAGGCTGAAGAGGACTTTTGTTTTGTCACAGGAAGGAGAGTTTTGTGTTTTCCTGACTCATCTCCCCCACAGTTTCCCACAGAAAACCTCAACACTTAGCAAAGCTCACTTTCCAAACCCAGAGGAGACAGCCTTTCTGGCAGCCCGGTGCTTTTGGCGAGGCAGCTCTTGAGCATCGCGGCTCCCCATGCTCGAACCCACCGAAAGACATCAGAGGGAGAGAGGAAAGGAAAAGCCTGTGGATTTTTTTCCCTACTGAAAACCTTTTGACCACCTTCAGTCACCACCTCACCACCTCCCTAGGAGAGATGTCCCCCTCACACCACCCTGAGATGGGTGACTGAGGCCCAGGGAGAAGAGCTGGAGGGACAGGAGAAGTCGGAGCACTGGGGAGCAGAGGGACAGACCTGTCCCCAAGGAGGGCAGTGCAGCCAGCATGGGGTCACAGACCCCAAAGAGTGGCAATCAGGGGAGGAGGACTTGGGGGAGGAGAAAAAAAGGGTAGAGCTAGCACAGAGAGACGTGGTGGACGGAGATGAAGCAGATGGAGAGGCAGGAAGACAAGTGGATTTGGGGAGCAGAGAACAACAGCCAGGCAGGCAGATGGAGATGAACCACCATCTCGGACAGATGCAATAAACCTCCACCTCACTCCTCCATCTCGCCCTCCCCAGCCCACGGGCCAGCTCACACCTCCAGCATCAGCCATACCTTTCTGGATGCCTCCATCCGCTGCACAGGAGAAGTCACTCGTGGCCAGCAGGAAGCACGTGGAGGATTTCTTGTTCTTATCCCGGGTGCTGGAGCGCCGCATGGGCCGCTTCTCCTCATCGGTCGGCGACAGCGGCTGCTCCTCGTCCGACAGCACCACGTTGGCCTCACCGTTCTGCTTAGAGTCTGCAAGAAGGTGGCAGAGACCCATCAGCAGCCGATAAACCCACAGGACGAGGTGCTTGGGGTGGCCAGAAGGGTTTGCTTAGACCATGCAAGGAAGCAGAAGACCAGACTGCAGATGGCCCAGAGCAACGCCCACAAATTCAGGTACAGATCCCAGCCTGGACATGCTAACTTAGAGTGACCAGGGGAGCAGGACCATGCCAGATTTTCATCCCAAGCAGCAGCTCTTACTCCTGCTGAGGGTTATATACCCTGCGTGAAGCCAGGCAGGGTTTGCCAGAGAAGAAACACCCTGGTCTTTGAGATCCGCTCACCTCACTGGTGGGAATTAGCTCTCCAAAATTCACACTGCTGAGATGCTCAGGTTAGTGGTGAAGTGCTAATTTATGTCATCTGACTCTCTGGTTCGTTAGCTAAGAGCTATGCCAGGTAAGGGTCTGGCCTGAGCTCCTGGATCAGAAGGGATGGGGTTGACCTGCTCCTCCAGAGCAGGACGGCTCCTCTCTCCGCTCCTCTTTCCCAGGGCTCCTGGGGCAGATGGGATGCGTAGGCACGTGGAAAAGGGAGATTTATGAAGGGGCATTTGGGGCTCCCTGTGTCCCCACGGGTGAAGGACCATCACTGTTAAACACGTGGCCAGACGCGCGGCTGCTCAGGGCTGACCTCAGTGAATGCCACGTCGGTGGAGGACACAACTCCACCGTGGTCCCTCCTGTTGCCGCACCAGATTTTCATCCCAAGCGGAGGTGCCGCTGGCAGCAAACCAAGACGAAAAGGGCAAAGCGGCCTGCGTGGCCAGCAATGATACCGCGGCAGGGCTCTCGCGGTCCCCCAAGCTTAGCCCAAGCGATGCTGCCCACCAACGACTGCCCACAGCCAGGGCCGTGCCCTCTCCTGACCTGAAGGAAAGACTGGCCAAACCCCAAACATCGGCTCAGTGCATGAGACCAAATAATAAATGTACAGGGGCTGATTTTGCTCCTGCCTGAGCACAGGATTTGGAGCAGCGTTGACCTTGCCGTGCAGGGATGCTACATCTACTAGAAGATGAACGGAGAGCTGGGGTCAAGCCCTAGGGAATATCCGTGGATTTATCCATTTTGGTGAAGCTTACCCTGATTTATGGTGGGAGGAAGCAAAAGAAAACCTACCCCAAGGGCATTACCAGGCTAAGATGGGAATCGGGCAAATGGTCCTACCTCTGTCAGCGTGAGGAAGAGGTGGGCTAGATAGGGACACTTTGAATCACACCACGGTGACTTGATCTATGCCATTAGGAGAGCAGGACATGGCCTTTCCCCCCCTGCCTGGAGGGGGGATCTTGATCTGCAGCATCCTGGTCCACCAACATGGCACCCAATACCCGGACACCCAAGGGCCCAGCCCCTTTCTGCACCAAGTTCTCACCAACCCAAGAGCTGGGTCCCGCAGCAGGGCAGTCCCCAGGGACTCTGGGACACAGGGGACCAAAAACACTGCCTTGGGAGCTCCCGGAGGTCTCCCCCTCCCTCTGCCCCACCTTTGGGGTCTCACCTGACCGTTTCCGCTCAGCCGCCCCCTCCTCTACTGCCAACGGGCAAGTGTCGCTCTGGGTGCTGTTACGGGGGGAGTTTTCCTCGGATTTGCAGTAGGTAGGGGAGTCCAGCGGGGCCGGACGGGGTATATGCTTTTTCTTCTTCTTTGGCAGCTTCTGCTTGGCCATGGCCAACGAATAGTACATCCCAAAGTTATTGACAATGACGGGCACGGGCATGGCGATGGTGAGCACCCCAGCCAACGCGCAGAGAGCCCCTACCACCATGCCCGACCAGGTCTTGGGGTACATGTCGCCGTAGCCCAGGGTCGTCATCGTGACCACAGCCCACCAGAACCCAATGGGGATGTTCTTAAAGTGAGTGTGGTCGTTCCCGCTGGGGTCAGACGTCTTCGCTCCGATCCGCTCGGCGTAGTAGATCATAGTGGCAAAAATCAAGACCCCCAAGGCGAGGAAGATGATGAGGAGCAGGAATTCATTGGTGCTGGCCCGGAGTGTGTGGCCCAGCACCCGGAGACCCACAAAGTGCCGTGTCAGCTTGAAGATCCGGAGGATCCGGACGAAACGGACCACTCGTAGGAAGCCCAGTACGTCCCGGGCAGCTTTGGAGGACAGGCCACTGAGACCTACCTCCAGGTAGAAGGGCAAGATGGCCACAAAGTCAATGATGTTGAGCAGGTTTTTAATGAAGAGAAGCTTATCTGGACAGCAGATGATGCGAACCAGGAACTCGAGGGTGAACCACAGGACACAAACCCCTTCGATGTAGGTGAGGATGGGCTCCGTCTCCACTTTATGCGTCAGCAGGATCGTCGTGGTGTTGCCAACCACGAGGGTCTCCGTCACGTTGACGTCGATGTTGAAGGCCTCGTGCGTCTCCAGACAGAAGGTTGTGATGGAGACCAGGATGAAGAAAAGCGAGGCAAAAGCAACTACCTGCAAAAGTAGAAATTACATGGACCATTAACTGATTTAGGTCAACCTCTCCTCTTTGGAGGAGAGCAGCAATTTTATGAACCACCGTGACAACAACCTTGGGGCAGCCTGAGACACACTTCTGATGTCACCTGCCTTTGGTACATCTCTTCTAACCCCTGCTAGTGAATAGCAATAGCAGGGATGAGAGAAGTCCTCATTCAATTAAAATGAGTGTAACAGGCTCAAAACACCCCAGGAGCTATGCTGCTGCCACCCGCTTCCCCAAGACCAAGGATGGAGCATGGGCAGGGTTCCCTGGACCTGTCCCATGAGTTGACAGCAAACCTCAGTGTCTGGGGCCATCAGCCCAGAACCTTCCTCCAAGTGCTACGATATGTACAGGGGAAGGTTTGCTGGCCTCTAGCTGTGGCTGAAGATGTGCCAGAAATTACAGTGATGGGGATGAAGGGAGACCTGCAACAGCCTGGGTTTGGAGCAAACCTCCACTGGGAACACATGAAAAGGGAACTTTGAGAGGACTAAGTCAAAGAGCTTTCCCTCACATTCATCCCAACCCCCCGCCCAGATGAGATGTTCACACCATTCACAACTGTGAGGTTTGGGGGTCTGGGTGTATCAGAGATGTCCTTTTGCTCCCTCCCCGCTCCCAAAGGGTCAGTGGTGGGTGATGTGCCCACGAATGGTCCCAGGACCGAGAGAGCAGGACGAGGAGGAGGGGAGCAGGCAGAGCTCAGCATCCCGCTGATGCCTGGACCTGGTGACACCCAGATGCTCCCATTTCTCCTCTCTACCCGACTGGTGAGACCTTTGTCCCCTCCGCGCCGCCTCCTCCCCGCGGCACGCTGCCGCATCGCCTCGGATGTGAGCGAGGAGGGGCCGGCAGCACGCGGTGGAAATCACAGGCTGTGTCAGAAAGAAAACACTTTGTCGTCCCCCCCATCAATCCTGCTCAGCCCTCCTCCCCGACAGGATGAGCTCATGATGAGTCCATTACCCAGAGCATCTGTTTCCAAGAGCCCCCGAAAAAAAAAAAAAGCCTCTGAGCAGAAAAGCTCTTCTTCTACCTTCCTCCAGCGCAAAAGCACAGCGGGTTTGGCTTCCTGGGAGCAGATCCTGCTAGAGCACCCTTTGCTTCTAACCCAGCCTGCCCGCACCCAGCAGGATGCGACCTTTTGCTGTCGAACCCACCCGACCGGCTGGCCCCGAAAGCCTGCTCGAGACGACAGCCCGGGTCCTTGGCTGGAGTGAATCAGCAGCAGAGACAGTCTGAGTCACGCTTGAGAAAACCCCGGACACCGGCGGTAACGTGCCGGCAGCCCTGAGCCTGCCGAGAGCATCCTTGAGGGGTGTCCCCAAGGGCAAACCCGTGTGGGTCCAGCACAGAGAGCACCAGCCCTCCAAAAGTTAGGTGTGAAGTTTAAGCCAGGCTCTAACTGATGGAGAAACCTCTGGAAGGTGATTCTCTGCCCCCAAAGATAGACTTCTGCTCGGGGGTGGGCTGAGGTGCTCTATACCCCTCAGCTCAGACCACTTTGGACCACACGCCGTGATGCTGCTCTGCTGGTGGCAGCTCTTGCCGATCAGCCACGCGCAATTTGGGAAGCAAACACAACAAAAATTGGGATCTTAAGTGGACAAGTGTGTCTATACAGCGGTGGCATGGCCAAAATAATCCGCTTTTCAGCTGAGGGCTGAGTAACGTTCCTGAGTTTCCCCGTATGGGGAATCTCAGGAAAACTTGAAGAGTAAAAACTTAGACTCAAAGCAAAGTAGGAAGAAAAAAATTACCAAGGAAGAGAGTGAGACCCTGCAAACACTCAGGCAATGAAACAGCCCTGCTGTATGAGCCGCGTAGGTGAGATCTGATTTAGCCCCAGGAGCAAAAGCAACCTCTAAAAATAGGAGAGTCAGGTTCACAGCCGGTGCCAACCATCGTCCCCCCCCAAAGTCAATAGTGCTGCTCCAGTTTTGTGTCAGCTGAAGATCTGACCTGAGATGGCTTATCTCAGCTTTGGCCTCTGCTCCAAGCTCAGGTGTTTATCCAAAACTGTCTTAAAAATAAAATCAAATCTATGTATATTCCCAGTGGCCACCAATATACCAAAAGTCCCACCAAAGAAGTCCTCCAGAACCTGCCAAGATCTCCACGATCTCAACATGCGCTCAACAGCTTGGGATGGGTGTTCCCAAAAAAAACCCATGACCCTACAGGGGGTCACTAGCCTGGAAGTGCCAATGGAAGGGAGGTCAGGACCCCACAAGTCAGGCTGCAAAGGGAAAAATAATGAGCTACAAGCAAGCAGAGTTTGGAAGTAGAGGTAAAACCACAACCGGGGCAGTTTCCCATGGGGAGAAAAAGAGTTTTACACTCCAGCTGGGGCAGCAGCTACACTAGGGACCAAATTTTCACTGAGACTGGACTAGACACAGGAGCCAAGATCCCGTGGGCATCGATGCTACAAGGAAAAGACGCTAAAAACTTGGGGGGGGAGTTTCTAACCTCACGCTTACGCAGTTGCCAGCTCAGGAGGTGCCGGGAGAGAGAAGTGCTGGAAGGAGGGAAAGATGGAAATAGCCAGGAGCCAACTGAGTCAGGGCCCGAGGGGCTGCTCCGCGGGCGAGGAGGAGCAAGGACCGGAGAAATTCAGCCCCCGAGACTCTTAGTCACTGCTGTCGCGCGATCGAGAGGTTTTATGCACACAACCTGGGATCGCTCTCCTTCCCGCTGCTGCCAAGGTTTGGCAAGACGCACCGGACCGGCTGCTCCGGCGCATCCCCAGGCCAAACGCCGTGGCCGGCAGCACCCCTTTTGCTCTGAAAAGGAAGGGGGAGACTCTGAAACGGGGCAGTATTAAAGAAATCCCACTTCAGCCACCCCAAAACGCCAGGGCAGCACCATGAACGTTGCACCTGCGGAGATGCTCATGGGTCCTGGAGCATCCTAGTGCTGGACGGTGACTCTGAACCAGTAACGGTTCCCTGCATTAACTGGGTGCACTGGGCAGGTTGTGCTTACTTAGGTTGGTTGCCTCAGTTTCCCCTTCTGCCAAAGCAGTTCTCCTAAGCCATTGCAAAACTCTACTGATATTTTAGAGGGGCAAATATGACCCAGAAGAGCCTGTGAACGTTACCGCTGGAAGGTGACCGTCCCTGTGGTGGTGCTAAGCTCAACCTTTATCTTAGAGCAGTAAGAAGGAAGCCGGGAGCTCCCAGTGCAGACTGGTCCCACTCCAACCCCAGTCAGGGCTCACATCACAGCCATCTCTGCTCCCTCCGACACGCTCCTCCTGCTTCGGTTTAGCGAATGCCTTTCTGAGAGCAGCTCAGCACACGGGAAAAGCAGAACCAAGTACTAACGTCAAAAATCTGAGTTGAATTATTCTGCTTGGGTTTATTTTTTAATTTGGAGCTTTGCACCACTCAGAGCAAATCTTGGAGGCAACGAGCCCTCAGCGATGGGCAAAGGATCGGGTAACCCTTTACAAAATTTTTCCCCAGCCCCCCTCTGCGTGTGCGCGTGTTGCTCTTACGTTAGCTGCAAAAGCACCGCCTTGACAAACCGACCCCCTGCCCCGCGCGCTGCTGGTGGGTGTGAAATGCCTGCAGGATTTCTTACGGTTGATGGTTTTTTTACACCTCTGAACACATCCAGAATTCATTTAGATCCCAAATATCTATACGTTTGCGTGCGGCAGATTTATAAGCTGGGCGTGATGGGGGACACACGCGCGGGGATGGGGCTGGATGGGTATGGAACAGCGTGGGCGGGGGTCGGTGGGCAGCGCTTTGGGGATGATCTAAGAGTAGCTGGGAGAGGAGACTCGTGCGCAGGATAGTGCCCGAGACGGGCTGGGAGCCCAAAGATGCGCCTGGTTATGGGGGATACGTCCCGGGCATGTCGGTGTCTGTGGGTAGGGATCGTCTGCGTGTGCAAGGGGGGTCGTGGGGGGATGTTAGCTCGTGTGTGAGCTCACGTGTGCGTGTACATGGTGTACCGGGTCCCCGGGGACGCGCGTGGATGAAGGGGGTTGGTGTGTTTGTGTGTTAACCGTGGCTGAGAGCCTGCGCTCGCACGTGCTGATGGGGACCGTATGCTGCGCGTGGGCAGCATCGACGCGGCGACGGTGGGGGACAGGGGTGCGGGGACGAGGGCGCTTGCAGGGCGCAGGGAGGGGTGCTTGCGCAGACGCACGGGGTGTCCTCTGGGGCTGCTGCTGCTGTAGCCTTGGGGACACCCACGAGGATCCCATTCGCTTCAGGACCTGCTTTAGGCGCCAGCAAGCACCAGCCCTGTCCCCCCACTCCACACCTGGGCCATTAAACGTGGGTTTTGGCGTGGGCACGCACACAACCCAGCGAGAGGAACCCAAGCAATCCTGCCTGTCCTAGAGCATCCTGAAACTCTGCCAGGGCTCAGCTCTGCCAAGGACTCTCCCTGACAATCTCTCACCTCCGTGTGCCCAGGAGGTGCCCCGGCAGCACCCAAGGGTGCGAAGGGGGCAGGGAGTGGGCTTGCCCCCAGTTTCAGCACAGCTCCCCAAGATACGATGCGTTGGGAGGGGACGGGGAGATGGTGGACGAGACTTCCCGGAGGATGGGAGATGGCCGACATGCCCCATGGTAGGAGGGGGACGGCTACAGAGGGGCCCACGTAACCCACGAGGAGAGTCCACCTCACCCACGGGGACGGGGAGGTGAAGACACAACCCCAGCACGGCCCCATCCCACCTCCCCACTGGTGCGTTTCGGGAGCTTACCCTTGCCGCCTTGGACGAGTAGGGATCCTCAAAGAGCGCCCACATCCTGGGCTGCCAATTCCGACAGCAGCCACCCCCTCCGGCAGCCCCCGCCGCCCCCGGCGGCCTGTCATCCATGCCCAGGCGTTGAAGGGCCATCTCCCTACCCCCTTCCTCTTCAGGCTCCTCTCCACCGGCCCCTCCGCCAGGCTCGGGACTCTCGAAGATGTCCAGGGCCTCTTCGGCATCGCGATGCTGGCGGTAGGTCATCCAGCAACAGGGCTCCACGTCCGTCTCATCGATGCCCCAGTAGGTCAGCTCCTCCTCGAAGAGGGGTCCGCAGATGTCCGCAGGGCAGTGCAGCTTGCCCGTACGGTAGTAGTTGAGGACGTAGGAGAAGATCCCGGGGTGACGGTCGAAGAAGAACTCATTGCTTTTACCATCAAAGTCAAAGTTGCTCTGGGCATCGGGGTCGGCGAGCCAGGCCAGGCGGGTGCCTGGCAAAGTCCGTAGGGTGCTTTTGTAGGTCTCATGCCGGGTGCCACCTACATTGATGGTGATCTTGTCCGACTCTTCCCCTTTGCCCATCTCTTCCTTCAGGCATGTTTTGGAGGGTGGTTTGTTCCCAGACTTGCGTCCACGGTAGGAGGAGACACACACCGAGCTGATCATAGATTTCGGTGGATGGGAGATGCACGCTACGCGCACCCTTCCTCCGGGCGAGGAGCTGGGGGTCGGCGGAGGCAGGAGAGGGGGGCAGAGATGGGACTGGGGAGGGGAAAAGGGGGGGGCTCAGGCTTGGCTCTGGCCTCAGGGG